CCTTCGGATAGCAGAAGTTGCGTCAAATTTTTTACAATTATAAGCTCCTGCTCTTTGTAGACGGAAATAATTATGCATCCTGTATTATCAGCTTAACGTAACTTATTGAGCACTACATAATGTTATGATAATAAAATATAAATAACCCTTATGGAGGAAGCTGCTCAATGAGATTAAATGATATTAAAATTACTAATTACAATTAAATAATCAACTATTACGCAAATACAAAAGTCCAAATGGAATCTGAATTCTTTTCTTTAATATTCTTTATTATAATCGTATATTATTTGTGTTCTGAAATAGTTGTAATTACATAATTTTAAGTCATTATTTAACAAATGGATTCTATTCTGAAGTGAGTTACCCTGCGAGTAGAGTCTTCTTCGGTCTTCCCAGAAAAAATCGGGAAGAGTATTTTCTAGGAAGATCGAAGGAGACTCTACTCGCAGGGTAGTCTTGAGTCTGTTTAGTAGTAATAGGTCACAGATGACGTCAAAATGTGGCAAAAACAAAGAAGTGGCACACGAGCCTGCCGCAGGCGAGTGTGTCTTTGATGTTTTTACCACACTTTGACGTCTTCTGTGATCTTTTTTTGAACAGAGCTAGACCCTCGGCAACATAGCATCTATTCGTTACATAATGACTTAAAATTACGTAATTACATGATTTCAGGAGCACAAAAAAAGAAAGTCTCTCGTAGCGATGACACACGATGGCAACTGTTGTGGAGGTTTCTTGTAGTTTAGGCATTCTCAAGTTGACAAGAACTTTTTTTGTCTCCGGTTCTCCATTTTTCTTCTTTGTAAATTTCCAGGCTTTCACTTGCTTAATCTGAAACAATCTTACAAATGTTTTCAAGACCCGCGTCATGTTGAACAAAACAACGAAAACAAGTTTCCCGTGACGTCATCCATGTATCTCTACTGCAATACTCCAAAACATCATGGGCAACGACCAATCACAGCGCGTAGCATTCAGATCACTGTATAAACTTTAGTTTACAGGGTGTGAATTGTTGTCGTTAATAAACTTTTCTTTCTTTCTACAGTTTTCGTAATTCGTACCGACATTGAAACATAATGTTTCCATTACGTCACTCAACAAGCTGTCAACAGTTTGAGTAACAATTTTGGCGATTTAAGATCTTTCAAAAGTACTATACAAAACCAGAGGGCTTTTGAATTTAAGTTGAGAAAACAAATCTGTAAAGATTACAGGAACGTTTAGAACCTGCATAAAGTTGAAAACGTTGAAACATTAAGAGGAAGTTTCTTAATTACAAACAAAAAGCCGTTAAAAAATACTAGTATACCCGAATAAGAAATAAAAATACATAGTAAAACATAATACACCAGAAATATTTTGTAGTAATATACAGTGTCTAACATATTGTGTTAAACAACAAGCGGTTCTAAGATCATCAGCATGATTGTCCCAATTGGAAATAGCTAAGCTAACTTTAACAAAAAGTGTGTTCAATCCAAGAGTAGAAGTTGTTATCATTGCCAAAGCATCCTCCTCACATCATACTTAGTTTTGCAAACCACGACTAAATCAAACTTGTTATTATATATCATGTAAATAAGACTAGTAGCAAATTCATTCAGCCAGTTACAGACAAGAACAGGTATATCCTGGCTTCTTTAAAGTAACCATGTTTTTGGCTGTTTAATTGTGTAAGCGCTGGCAAATATTTATAATCTAGCAGGGCATACAAATCGAAGTGCTTGCTTCAGGGGCACCCAACGATGGATTCCTCCTAAGTACATAGAAATCTCTTTTAGGCTATCCAGAGTACTTTTAGTCATCTAGAAATACATTCAAGCGGCGCTATAAAATTTGTACCTGGTCGGTCATCCTAGGAGAACTTAAAAGTCTTTTCGAAATCACAAAGGGCTCCAGTATTATTTTCCCGAAAAATTTAAATTCAATTGAAAGTTTTACGAAAATGAGAATTGTTCTTAGTCCTCTCTCCATCACAATTTTGAATCCAAAAAGTTTAGGTTTCCTTTTTCTGCGAAAATTAGCCTAGCAAGGGGAGTAAAATGAGAGAAATTAAACTTCAGAAAATCGTAGGGAATTTATTAGATAAGCTTCGAAAATTGTACCTGAATGGAACGGTCATCTATAAATTTCTAGCCGTCCTTTAGCAATAGGAAATTAAAGGCAATATTTGCTTCTCCGAACAGATAATTCAGAGAAAACACTCGTTGGGTGCTCCTGTTGCTTAATATTTACTAATTTCAGCTTTCCACTGTTCAAATAAGCAGTAAATACTGAGTAGTAAAAATAAATATTAAAGGCACTGACAAATAATAGTATTGTACATTTCCCTTGCTATATCCGCTCGAGCCAATCTATCGTTCTCTCCAGCAGAGTTCATCATGCATGACCTACCGAGGAAAGGGAAATGTGTTTTGTCGCCGTACGTAATTCCGCGACGGATAATAACCGGCGTACTTAAGACATGTTAAAAGAGCGACAATAAGCAAAGCAATATAGCTCTTTTACCTATCTGAATCGTGAGCTTTTTTTGCCAAACACCTATATTCTTCGTCTAAAATAAATTGCCTTGTCATGATTTTCTTGCAAAGTTTAAAGCTTCCATCAAATTTGGTTCCAAAATATCTTTTCAGACGTCCATTTATTTGTTCACCTGAATACGTCTAAGTCATTCCTCGTACTGTGATACGGATGGTCCGTGACCTTCTAATGATTCGGTCGGAATTTTAAAAGCCACAAAGATCTCCCCTCCTTTCACGTCTATGTTCAGCTTATGAAGAACTAAAAACCAAGCAAAAAAGTTATAACTGGTTAGACAGTACGGATCTCGAGCCTGGCGAATAAGGCTTTCAATTAATTGATCAGGGGAAGCGGAGGGGGGGGGGGGGGTTCTCCAGCGGTTGGCTCATGAATAACCGAATACTTTATACAGTAACGGTACTGTAACAAAGTTAAGATAAGGCATTGATTTGTTTACAGCCAAAAGTTATATTAACTTAATCGTGAACACTGGTCAAATTATACAAAATGACATGGCTGATTGCATGAACTGCAACGTGCCAAAAATCAACATGCCAAATTTCCTATTAAACTATTTTTCTATAATTCTATACTCTACATACATTTTACTATAATGACGTACAGGATTTGTTTAATATCCGTTGTTAACAAATATTTCAGTACCTTTTTATGATTATCAAGATTCATAAAAGAAGTATCAATTAATTAAATCCCTGACGAACAAGAAGCTCTTGCCTTAGGCTATTATTTTATTACCCTCCACAAAACCACGACCAAGATTTGAGGTAAAAATTTTCGATATAGTGTTTCTGTATACTATGCACGTCACATTCTATCGTCTACTCCGTTATAGCTGCGCCTAGCTATCTTTCCGTGTTTCCCGGTCTGTATCTGTGGTATATAAGCCTCTTATATATTTTAAAAGGCTGGCTTTCAAATTGATACATATTTTAAACTTCTCTATGATAAGTTTTTCTTCTGAAACAGGAGATTTCTTTATGTTCCATTTTATAAATTTTTATATCAAGCCATTTTTTCGGTAAGAAGAACGCTAAAAACTTTGGATTGCGTGACCAAGAGCTCTGCGTGGCGGCGCACTTGTTTGCTGAGGAGATAAACACAGAGTCGGATTTGGTTGGAGAAAATTCGGCCACCAAAGGTGACGAACTTTATTTTCAAGATCTGCAAATATATAATAAACTAAATATCTCTTCAGCAAAGGTGGGGGAAAAAGCCGCCACCCACTAAGACAAGAAAGAGAAACACACTAGGAATTAATTTGCAGGCAGGCGGAAGGGGAGGTGGTGGAAAATGCTGAAAATTGGTTCAAACAAGCGATGTGAACAACGTGACGGTGAGCGATCGAAAGGGGTGAGCGCATGGAAAAGCGTACTTAAGAACGATATCGTCCGGAACGCCCTAAATTCTGACTGGCTGGAAATAAGATAGGCTTGGAACCTGCCGCCTTAGCCTGCAAACGATTATCAAATGCCTTGCCATAAAATCCCATTATGATGTGGTCATAACGGTGTCTTTTTTCACATATCGAATATTCTAGTAACCATCTTACAATATTTCATGCATCAAAACATTTATTTTAATTTGATGCAATTTAAATGCTTCACACAGCAAAGTATTTTCAACGTTATGGTTAAGACTTTGCCAATCAACAATAGAAACAAATTCATGATTTAGTGTAGTTTCAACCGATCAAGGCCACTGGATCTGTCAGAAATCTTTCTACCTTTCTAGCTCATTTCTGTCATCAGGGAACGAAAAGTTTTTTTCACCAAACTAGATGTCGATCTCTTCTGTGGGCTCTAAATCAAAATGAGTTTTAAACCGCTGCTGCAACAGTTCAGGTAGCCAGAATTCGCAGTCCTAAATTGTAAGGTGTAGAGTTGTTTGTTTAGAGCATCGAAGTGTTTTTAACATAAACTGTCAATGTATTACTGAATTTATTTATTTATCAATATTATTATTTTATTATTATTATCATAAGAAGTGCTTTAATTTTCCGCACAGTCATTGCAAGATTATCCTTTCTTGGTCATAAACATAACATTTTACATGATAACTAGAGGGGAGATCAAGCAAACTCTGTTAACCTCTTTGATTGAAATCCTCGCTTTATTCTAGATAGAGAAGAAGCGTAACTTTTAACAGAAACCGGACTTTCAGTTTTGCAATACAGATATGGAAAAATAATTCTTAATTGATAAATTTTTTTAACCTTATGAGGAAAAAAAATCAGAATGAACTTTATTATAATTTTGTCCATACTTTTTCAGTTTGTTTTGAAACATATCATACAAAATTACGATTCCAATATATGTGGGAAGGTTGTTCCTTATAATTACTCCCTGAAAAACTATAGGATATTTGCCATAATTCGTTATTAAGTTCGATGTGTATGTTTGATGCATATTGTCTATTGTAGGCAGGAATATACACTTCCATTAGTTTAAAAAAGGTTATTTACGGATGCTAGAATCCTGATATGAATGCAAATCAACTGCTGTCAGATAAGTACTTGATTCAAAGATATTCTGTATCTTCAGAGACTTAAAGAGTGGTCGTGATTTTTCTCTATAATTTGAAAAAGTCATAACCCTGTTAAGATATTTCTTTGTTTTGAGAGAATAGGTTTTAGTCTAGTAAGATAAGTACTTGCCCAGTGTTGATACATAGCTCATGTTATATAAAATATGAAGCGTTTTAAGTGGTAATAATGTCTACAGCAGCCTTATTTGGCCAAAATGCCGGTCATTTGGTTCATAGTGTCTTATAGAGTTCCTATGTCACGGTTTTTATTGCTCAAGGCTAAATTAGTATCATCTGAAAATAAAATAAAAGACACTTTCTAGTGGCAATTTGTAGATCATTCAGGACGATCGAGGTAGATTACGCAATTATAATAAGAAATAGAATAATAAGCACTAGAATTAGAATAAGATTTAGAGGCGGGGAAGTCTCAAGAAACCATGAAGGTTTACAAGTGAGTCTTTCTGTGTACATTAGAATAATAGCTACTTTTAGCTAACTAACGTAAGAATACTTTCTTTTTCTTCTGACAACTGCCACTAAATATCACTGATGACATTTGATTTCTTTGTCTTTAATGACGTAAGGCCAGGGCCTCATGGGAATCAGTTACAGAATAGAAGTTAGAAGATGGAATTATTATTAAGAGATCATACAAACAGCAGGCCGGTTTCCTAACTGCTCACTTTCGCATTCACCTTTTTTGAAAATGTTGTACATCATCGTTTCTGAATAAGGAGGACAACAGAGCACTTAGTTCATCCCCAAATGTCTTATTGTTTTGTTCCTTGAGACGTTTCTGTTGTTTTGTCGAGGTCAATATGGATACAATATTTCACTGACGCATACAAACTTTGAATGACCTTGCAAAATTTCCTCTTCTGATTCCGTATTTATGTTAATATCGCATATCTGATGAATCGACACTTATTGTCAAACATTCTCATACCGTTTCGTGAATGTTTCTATCAACAAACGCTTTAAGATAAACATTATAGCTGTGCATCTTTCTTTTGGTCTAAATCCAAACTATTTTGGAGTTATGATAGATTTTCTTTAATTCAACAATTTAATCTGGATTTTAAAGTCGTTGTGAATAATTTTCCCAAACAGCCTACATGTAGTCAAAGTAATTCCCCTGGAATTTGGTAACTTCCTTTAACCCCCTTTCGTGTAGAAAGTAATTGGTTTTATAATTCGATACTCGTTATAACGCAAACTATAAGCCACGGCCATATTCAATGAATCGTCACATTTAGTTTGAGTTTGCATCTGATTCTTTCTTTTGTCCTTGGCTTGACTTTCGACATGTAGGCATGTAATTCTTTGTATAATATTTCGTGATTTACAAGCTTTTCTCGCGTTTTCTCAGCATCCTGCGTGGGATATCACGCCGGTAAAGCCATAGAAAGTGTGGTCGATTAGCTTTTGTAAAATAACTTTAAGTTTTCTATGCGTTTACTGGCACAGTAAACGATAGGTTTTTAAGCAATCAGAACGTGCGTAGTTATTTTATAAAACTTCATATTTTCAGTGTACGGTTAAGAGAATGCAAAATCAGTGGCAATTTGAGGTGAAATGGTTAGTTCAAATAAAGACGCTAGACGGAATTGTTAGCTACTATTAAAAGAACATATCCCTCATTTTTTTGTTCTTTTTTTTTTTTTCTTACTGTTATTTTTACAACCCTCCTCTGTGATTGTGAGACTGCCAAACACTTGACAACAGTATCAAGCTACAAGATTTGTGCTTTTTTGAGGTTTGAAAGGAAACTCCTTGCTCTTTACATAAATTATTCCAATATTTTGTAATAATTGGGACTAGCTAGCTTTTATCGCGGGCCTGTAGAAAGAAAACAAATCCTTCTGACACGTTTTTGCTAAAATCAGGAACACGTAACACCTCGACACATTCTGGAACATGTCAAATGACAAATCAAACAGAAGTAGAGCGAAATTCAAACGGTTTTACAAATCATTTTGTAGCTTCCGAGACACACCGCAATTCCAAATTAAAAATTAAAGTACTTGATCTTTTTTAAATCCCGAAACAGAAAAAACATTTTAAAATATTTAACAGATTACTTTTATAGGCTACAATATGTTTGTGTCTGTTTTTTTCTGTTTTTCCCCAAGTGTTTTCTTTTCTTTAGTAACTGCCAGGTTTTGCAGGTTGTACCAGGGGTGTCCAGTGTTTTTGGTTTTATAACTTTCATGACTTCAGAGCTAAAATCATCACTAAATATTAAACAGAAAGAATTATTAGTAAGAACGACTTCTTTAAAGGAAAACAAACACTGACAACTTACTTATGTTAACTTAGTTTCACCTATTTATTTTGATTTTGCGTTTACGTTATATAAGAGAATTGTAAATAAATAATAAGTTGTCCTAAGTTGTCTTTCGTTTGATGTTTGGTGTTTTGGGAGGCACAGTCAGCAGTCACCCATTGTCCTGGGTGGGGAGGGTCAAAGTCTTGGTACCAAGGACACACTTAGCATAGGACCTGTAGACACTCACTGAAGCCATGTTTTCATAAATTCAGTCAGATATTTATGTACGTTTTATTCCTGATTTTACTATATGAAGTATAACCTTACACGTTATTAGTAAACAATATCAAATAATTTAATATAACTGAAATTTTGAGAAAAATTTAATTGAAAAAAATTGAAAAATGTCAAATGTTGCTTCCCTATGCTGCATGTTATTTCCAGTACATTTATTTTGTTTTTAAAACGTTCTTCTCAAGAAAAATCAAATTTTATATTACGATTACCTCGATTTAAAAGTTTATTAAGCAGTATGATAAATACAATTGGCGCCAGCCAAGGATGGTGGATTTGAGTTGGCGGTCGACAAAAGAAATCTACCCACCCAAAACCCCTCAGGGAAATTGCATAAACCCAGGTCTAGAAACTGGGATTTACGCAAGTTTAAATGAGAAATATCAGTCTTAAAATAACACAACTCAAAAACGGTTACAATTCTTAAATCCATGGAGGATATTGCTATCTCCTGTTGCCTGTTTTTTGTCCTCGGAACTTTGATTCAGCAAGTCAAAAACTTTCCTCTTCCAATTCTTAAGCACCTGTTGTGTCTGCAGGAGAAAAATGGTTTAAAACAGTTATTGCGCACGGTTTAAAGTCAAGATTTTTATGTACCCAATCAAATTATATGATTTGGCACAGTAGAAACTCCACAATAGAATCAATTAAATTCGATGAAATTTGATTTGCATCAACCATAATTCTTCAAATCTCATACGACTGGAAGCCGAATCCACATCCGATTATTGTAAAATGTAACTGTGGAATCTTTGGAACGGAAATAGCACGATGGACACGGATTAAACCACAACAGAATTACTTTTAAGTTAACATAGCCAATCCTCCCGCTCACGTGCCGCCAACATCATGTAAGACTCCCCAAAGTATACTTTTGTATTAAATCATGTAAACGCACACGAAACATCCTACAGTAACAAACTGTAGAAATCTCTAGTTTTAGCATTCATTGCATTGTGTCATCTAGACATGTGGTAAAATTAGTTATATTCAGATGCATGTTATCTTCTAGCGATCCAAAAATCATGGCGGCAGAGGATAACTAGAGGGGAGATCAAGCAAACTCTGTTAAGCTCATTGATTGTAATCCTCGCTTGATTCTAGATAGAGAAGAAGCGTAACTTTTAACAGAAACCGGACTTTCTGTTTTACAATACGGATATGGAAAACTAATTCTTAATTGATAAATTTTTAACCTTATGAGGAAAAATCAGAATGAACTTTATTATAATTTTGTACACTTTTTTCAGTTTGTTTTGAAACATATTATACAAAATTACGATTCAATATATGTGGGAAGGTTGTTCCTTATAATTGAACCCTGAAAACCTATAGGATATTTGCCATAATTCGTTTCTTTAAATTCGATGTGTATCAGTTTGAAGCATATTGTCTGTTATAGGCAGGAATATACACTTCCATTAGTGTAAAAAAGGTTATTTACCCACGCTAGAAGCCTGATATGAATGCAATAAATCAACTGCTGTTAGATAAGTACTTGATTCAAAGATATTCCGTATCTTCAGAGTCTTCTTCTTCTATAAGTTGAAAAAGTCATAACCCTGTTAAGATATTTCTTTGTTTTGAGACAGTAGTAGGATAAGTACTTGCCCAGTGTTGATACAGGGTTAAATATCAGTAGATCGACCATAGCTCGTGTTATATGACATTTGAAGCGTTTTAAGTCGTAATAATGTCTACAGCAGCCTTATTTGGCCAAAATGCCGGTCATTTGGTTCATAGTGTCTTATAGAGTTCCTATGTCACAGTTTTTATTGCTCAAGACTAAATTAGTATCATCTGAAAATAATATAAAAGACTCTATTTAGTAGCAATTTGTAGATCATTCAGGACGATCGAGGCAGATTACGCAATTACTATAAGAAATAGAATAATACGTATTAGAATTAGAATTAGATTTAGAGGCGGGGAAGTCGAAACCATGAAGGTTTACAAGTGAGTCTTCCTGTGTACATTAGAATAATAGCTACTTTTAGCTAACTAACGTAAGAATACTTTCTAGCTTTTTGTTCTGACAACTGCCACTAAATATCACTGACGACATTTGATTTGTTTGTCTTTAATGACGTAAGGCCAGGGCCTCATGGGAATCAGTTACAGAATATAAGTTAGAAGATGGAATTTTTATTAAGAGATCATACAAACAGCAGGCCGGTTTCCTAAGTGCTCACTTTAGCATTTGCCTTTTTTGAAAATGTTGTATAGCATCGTTTCTGAATAAGGACAACAACAGAGCACTTCGTTCATCCCCAAATGTCTTATTGTTTTGTTGCGTGAGACGTTTCTGTTGTTTTGTCGCTGTCAATATGGATACAATATTTCACTGACGCATACAAACTTTGAATGACCTTGCAAAATTTCCTCTTCTGATTCCGTATGTATATTAATATCGCATATCTTTTGAATCGACACTTATTGTCAAACATTCTCATACCGTTTCGTGAATGTTTCTATCAACAAACGTTTTAAGATAAATATTATAGCTGTGCATCTTTCTTTTGGTCTAAATCCAAACTATTTTGGAGTTATGATAGATTTTCTTTAATTCAACAATTTAATCTGGATTTTAAAGTCGTTGTGAATAATTTTCCCAAACAGCCTACATGTAGTCAAAGTAATTCCCCTGGAATTTGGTAACTTCCTTTAACCCCCTTTCGTGTAGAAAGTAATTGGTTTTATAATTCGATACTCGTTACAACGCGAACGATAAGCCACGGCCATATTCAATGAATCGTCACATTTAGTTTGAGTTTGCCCCTGATTCTTTCTTTTGTCCTTGGCTTGACTTTCGACATGTAGGCATGTAATTCTTTGTATAATATTTCGTGATTTAAAAGCTTTTCTTGCGTTTTCTCAGCGTCCTGCGTGGGATATCACGCCGGTAAACCCATAGAAAGTGTGGTCTATTAGCTTTTATAAAATAACTTTAAGCTTTCTATGAGTTTACTGGCACAATAAACGATAGGTTTTTAAGCAATCAGAACGTGCGTAGTTATTTTATAAAACTTCATATTTTCAGTGTACGGTTAAGAGAATGCAAAATCAGTGGCAATTTGAGGGAAATGGCTAGTTCAAATAAAGACTCTAGACAGAATTGTTAGCTACTATTAAAAGAATATAACCCTCATTTCGCTCTGTTTTTTTTTTCTTACTGTTATTTTTACAACCCTCTTCTGTGATTGTGAGACTGCCGAACACTTGACAACAGTATCAAGCTGCGATATTTGTGCTTTTTGAGGTTTGAAAGGAGACTCCTTGCTCTTTACATAAATTATTCCAATATTTTGTAATAATTGGGACTAGCTAGCTTTTATCGCAGGACTGTAGAAAGAAAACAAATCCTTCTGACAAGTTTTTGCTAAAATCAGGAACACGGAACACCTCGACACATTCTGGAACATGTCAAATGACAAATCAAACAGAAGTAGAGCGAAATTCAAACGGTTTTACAAATCATTTTGTAGCTTCCGAGACACACCGCAATTCCAAATTAAAAATTAAAGTACTTGATCTTTTTTAAATCCCGAAACGTAAAAAACATTTTAAAATATTTAACAGATCATTTTTACAGGCCACAATACGTTTGTGTTTGTGTTTGTTAGCAAGTGCCAGGTTTTCCGGGTTGTACCAGGGGTGTCCAGTGTTTTTGGTTTTATAACTTTCATGACTTCAGAGCTAAAATTATTGCTAAATATTAAACAGAAAGAATAATTAGTAAGAACGACTTCTTTAAAGGAAAATAAACACTGACAACTTACTTATGTTAACTTAGTTTCACCTATTTATTTTGATTTTGCATTTACGTTATATAAGAGAATTGTAAATAAATAATAAGTTGTCCTAAGTTGTCTTTCGTTTGATGTTTGGTGTTTTGGGAGGCACAGACATTCACCCATTGTCCTGGGTGGGGAGGGTCAAAGTCTTGGTACCAAGGAAACACTTAGCATAGGACCTGTAGACACTCACTGAAGCCATGTTTTCATAAATTCGGTCAGATATAAATGTACGTTTTATCCCTGATTTTACTATATGAAGTGTAACCTTACATGTTATTAGTAAACAATATCAAATAATTTATTATAACTGTAATTTTGAGAAAAATTTAATTGAAAAAAATTGAAAAATGTCAAATGTTGCTTCCCTATGCTGCATGTTATTTCTAGTACATTTATTTTGTTTTTAAAACGTTCTTCTTAAGAAAAATCAAATTTTATATTACGATTGCCTCGATTTAAAAGTTTATTAAGCAGTATGATAAATACAATTGGCGCCAGCCAAGGATGGTGGATTTGAGTTGGCGGTCGACAAAAGAAATCTACCCACCCAAAACCCCTCAGGGAAATTGCATAAACCCAGGTCTAGAAACTGGGATTTACGCAAGTTTAAATGAGAAATATCAGTCTTAAAATAACACAACTCAAAAACGGTTACAATTCTTAAATCCATGGAGGATATTGCTATCTCCTGTTGCCTGTTTTTTGTCCTCGGAACTTTGATTCAGCAAGTCAAAAACTTTCCTCTTCCAATTCTTAAGCACCTGTTGTGTCTGCAGGAGAAAAATGGTTTAACACAGTTATTACGCACGGTTTAAAGTCAAGATTTTTATGTACCCAATCAAATTATATGATTTGGCACAGTAGAAACTCCACAATAGAATCAAATAAATTCGATGAAATTTGATTTGCATCAACCATAATTCTTCAAATCTCATACGACTGGAAGCCGAATCCACATCCGATAATTGTAAAATGTAACTGTGGAATCTTTGGAACGGAAATAGCACGATGGACACGGATTAAACCACAACAGAATTACTTTTAATTTAACATAGCCAATCCTCCCGCTCACGTGCCGCCAACATCATGTAAGACTCCCCAAAATATACTTTTGCATTAAATCATGTAAACGCACACGAAACATCCTACAGTAACAAACTGTAGA